AGAGAGAAGGAGGAATATAGGAAACCAAATTTTGAGAAATTTCAGAAGTGTTTAAGAGGTGATTTCTAATATTGGCCATATACAATAAGAAGCCGGGGGGGGGGGGGGGGGGGGGGGGGGGAACAAAAAACAACAACAACAACAACACACTTTTAAAAAGAAGGGTAGAAATCACAATTTTATTGTGATTCTTTCACATACTTCTAAATGAGCTTTTCCAACCACTCCTTTGTGAATTTTTACCTTGAGCCCCTTACTACTGGAGACAAAACACAAGTGACTGAAACTGTGACAACATTTACAAAAGTTAATCCTGCAGGGAAAAGTCTAAATAAGCTTTTGCTGACTCGCTTAAAGATAAGATGAAGTGTAGCGTATTGGTACTAAACTCACTTAACAAGCTGGCTCCTGTAGCAGAAGCAGTCAAGATCAGCTGGAGCTAATTTACTCTGTGAGTGGGACTTGGGGAAGGGGGGGATCTAAAACACATCTTAGTTAAAGGAAAACCTCAAAGTCAGGAAAAAAAATGGTCTTAGCAGAGATATTTCTCAATTTTGCAGTTTGCTGAATAATTCCTATTCTGAGGGAAAAGGCTTTGAGTGTTTTGTTTTTTGCCTTTACAAATAATAAACACTCTCTTTCATAATATATAAATGATAGAAATGACAAATTTAACTAATTAATATTTCTATTAGTAAGGGTGTAGTCAGTAATATGGGCTAATTTATCCCACTACCTCGCTTTCTGACAGGCAGATAGATTTTCAATCCTGGAGGATTTAAGAGCGGAGCAGAGATCTTGCCATGTTTCTCATCTGAAATGCTACTCTTGGTGTAAGGTCTAGTAATGACAGAAGTCAAAACCAGGAGCCTGGTATTCATTTGGTGCATAAAGTAGTAAGGATTCTTGCCTCAAACATTTTATTTCTATTTCAGCACAGCCTACAGTTATCATACAATTTTGGATGTGAAGTTGAATTTGATATAAAGATATCAGGAAAGAGGATCTCATTCACCTTGTTTTTTCACTTGTTTTCCAGCTCTCTTCATTTCTTCATGTTGCTAGGTATGTTGGATTGCTAAATTCACTATGGCAACTCCCTAACAGTTTAGCTTCAGGCAACCTGCTCTCATTAGATCTAAATTATTCCCTGAAAAAGAAGACAATTTACATTTTTGTTTGGGTACACAGCATGTTAATAGGTTCCAGGTGCCAGTTTGATTGAGAAGCTTTGTTTTGGGTTTAATTTCTCAGACAGCATGTTGAAAAAGCTTCTGTAGATTACTCTTCCCAGTGCAGAGTACTATGCACAGGGATACCTAGACCATGCATCGCCAGATCTGTGCATGAGTTAATTTTCCCAGGTGAGAGAAACAAAGCATGTTATCTTAGACATAACACCCTATTAAAAATCCAAACTAGTTCTGTGAGATAGCAAAGCACTACTCAAAGCACTGTCTTCCCTATAGAAATATGTCTTATGGGGTCACATCACTTCAGGAATTTTACTGACACACAAATTGAAAAGAATGAATATTTGTCCATCTATAAAATAAAGCCAATTAGCAGATGATAAAATATAAGTGCTTGCCTTGTATATTTTGACATGTAGAGAAGCAGAATGTAATAATAAAATAAATAAATAATAAATAAATTTGTATCTTGGCTTGTAAGTTGTAGACACGCATATTATATCTCTTCTGACCACTCTGTGCTTGCTTTTTACTTATAATTTTTCTACAGAATTCATATTTCTTCTCCTTTTTCATATTTCTAAACAATATGCACTTTAATGAAGTTGTAGCACTGATACAATCATCAACCAAAGAACATTCCTAAGAAGAGATTGTTCAGATCTTCCTATGTTGAGAGACAGAAGAAAGGCAATTTATTCTATAAAAAAATAAAATAATAAAATCTTTTAATACAGATCCAGGTTTTAATTCCTTAACTATAAACAATAGCGTCTATTTTTTATTTTTTTTTCTGATTAAAGGAATAATATAGAAGCCTAACAACAAACTTTGAATAGAATTGCTAGTTCCATTGATTAGATTAAATTTACAATGTCAGCCCAGTAAATTATACATAACTTAATATCTCAATTCTAACTCTGTATGTCAGTAAAATATTAACCTATTTTATTTTTTGTATGATCCTATTATCAATCATTTTGAAGTGAAATAGAATTTCATTTTTTTTTTCAGTCTTTAATCTTTCAGAAGTCAGACTGTTATCCTTGCTTTTGATCAAAAGATAAATACTGAAGAATAAAAATTTAGAACTGGTTATGTCAGAAAAATATATATTACAGACATCATATAAAACTTTACAAACAATGAAAATGCAGTGTTTGTGTTTTCAAAATAAATGAGGTCAAATTATCTCCTCTCAGGTCTTTAAAGAAATATGATTGTGAATCCAACTGCTTTTGAAATTAAACAATGAATTTATTTAATCAAAATTATAACAGTTTTTCACAGTTTCAGAACAAAAGGATAGAAGAATGGGTAATTGCTAATTTATTAGAAAATGAGAGTTGTGGCTTTGACAGTGGAAAGGGTTAAACCTTATGGCATCCATTGATGCCATAATATGCTAGGCAGACTCAGGTATTACCAGAGAACAACTTTGAGTTCAGCAACCTGGTCTGTAGCTGCAGCTGGACAGGGAGACATCTATCAAATATCACATTCATTTCCAAAAAATTCTGTCTGTTATGTTTGACTACAGAATTTTCAGTAGGTTATGAGACTGCTTCACAAATGTAGGTTAACCTCTAGTCTCAAAGGAGAGATTAAAAAGGTTTATTATAATTTCATTTTGTCCTGCTTTTATCAAACCCCACTTTATTTTTCAAATTGCAGCACATAATTGTTAAATTTCTAACCTTTCAAACCTAAGTGTTTTTCTTGTTAATGGGAGTTTACTTTAAGAGGAGTGTCCTATTACATGACTACCATTTTGCATTGATAAACAACACATTTTCCATTTTAAAAAATATATTCCGTCAAGTTATTTTTCTAGTAGAATTTAAATTCTAGTACACTGGGATTCTGTTCTTATCACAGTTTATTCCACTAACACATTCAGCTTTAAAAATATTTGGCTGGATTTCAACGGATATGTTTAGAGGTAAAAATCAATCAGTTTAACTGTTGTTTTCACAAACAGACAAGTACCTGACTAAATGAACACCTGTTGAAGTTATAAAAATAGGAATAAAAAATAAAAATGTACTAAGACCTTCAGTGGTTTCAATTTCCATTTAAAATAGATTCTTCAGTAATTAGTTTTTATATTTTTAGTCTCTAACACTTTAGTCATCTAGGTAAAGATTCTGTCTGAATCCCAAAATAAAAACCCTTGACAAGTATGAAGCCTATTCTGTACTACCTAAATGTTAATAGTTATACCAGTTTTTTGAAGCAGAGTAATCCACTGTGATCCATCTGGATGGATTTCCATATGAACATGTTAGCTACACAATAATAAGGAAATGCAATGTTCACTTATCTTCCTCTCTAGAAGCCTACCTGGGCATCCTACTCTAAGGAACCTGCTTTGGCAGGAGGGTTAGACCTGATGATCTTTCGAGGTCCCTTCCAACGCTTACAATTCTGTGATTCTGTGATTGTGAAGCTTTCTTTTTTGTCTCTAATGTCTTCACTTTACTGAAATATCTTAACTTACTCTTTGAAAACTTACTCTTACCATCACCATCAAAATTCAAATGTCTTACCAATATGAGCTAATGACATAAATGATACCACAGAGTAACAAGACAACAGTAACACCTATAGTAACCTGAACGTGCATATTCTGGGTTCCTCTTACCTCCTGTATTTTCAATTCTATTGAAGTGCTCTGTTTTCACAGATGGGCATAATAAGGAAACACAAAGTGTGAAACACGCAGAGCTAAAAAAAAAATATAAACTGGGATTTATCTTTGTTCCAATTTGAAGCAGGTTCAACAGCTCTTTGAGTTACAGCCAGCTTAGGGACTCTCTGAAAGCATGATGCTCAAACAGCATTAACTAATATAATATTTTAGTCCATGGAGTAGTAACATGCTGTTTAAGGCAGCAAGAAAACACAGAACTAAGGGTAAAAACAAAGAACCTGAAGGGACAAGGAACAGTTTAAGGCTTTTAAATATTTTCTTATGTGTAACATCCAAACATACAAACCTCACAGCTGTTTTATTTCAATTTATTTATTTATTTTTAAATTATTTTTTGTAAATGTCATTGCGTAAAAGACTGCAATGATGTCTATGTATGCACAGCTCCTTCCAGGTTTTTACCTACCTAGAGATTTTCCACCAACTGCCAAAGTAATTCACTCAGAAGTCTCCAAGGGGTACTCAACAAATGAGTAAGGAAATCATTTTCTGGAGTGAGTGTCTTGTTTCTGTAGCAAGAGGAAATTTCTGTGTTTTCATTGCATCTTCACCTTTTATATGGGCTCAACTTTTCTGTGCTCTATTTTTTTCCTCTATGTGCTGCAATTTTCCACCAGATCATCAAAGGATCTTTGCAACTCAAACTGTCATTTCACCATGTTCTTTTGAATTTCTGGTTCAAATACTCAATATTTTATAAGTGTAGAAAATAGATACTCTTCAAGCTTCTACTTCTTGGGACATATATTTTGTGGGCATAATCATACTTAATTAAATTTTCTTGTTGTCCTGGTTTCAGTTAGAATAGAATTAATTTTCTTCCTAGTAGCTGGTGGAATGCTGTGTTTTGGCTTAGGATGAGAAGAGTGCTGATAACACCCCGATGCTTTAATTGTTGCAGAGCAGTGCTTATACTAAGCCAAGGACATTTCAGCCTTTTGCTCTGTCCTGCCAATGGGCAGGCTGGGGGTGCAGTAAGAGCTGGGAGGGGACAGACCCAGGACAGGTGACCCAAACTAGCCAAAGGGGTATTCCATACCATCTGACGTCATGCTAAACAATATATAGGGGTGGCTAGCTGGGGGGAGGGGGCCGGACTGCTCGGGGTTAGGCTGGGCATCGGTCAGTGAGTGGTGAGCAATTGCATTGTGCATCACTTGTTTGTACATACTATTATTACTTTCATATTATCACTATTGTATCATTATTATTATTTTTGTTATTATTATTTTCCTGTCTTATTAAACTGTCTTTATCTCAACTCACGGGCTTCACTTTCCATTTCTCTCCCCCGTCCCAGAGAGGGAGGGGGGAGGGTGAGCGAACGGCTGCGTGGTGTTTAGCTGCCGGCCGGGTTAAACCACGACACTTGTTAAGATATAAGTGCTAAATATGGTACTGTTTTAACAGTTTGTTAATATTTTGTAAAAAGTCTTCTTAGTAGATAAATGAAGGTTGTTCTTCAGCAGCGGCCTTTCTTTCCAGGCCTATGGATGAACTATCCCGGGAAAGTAAATTAGTTTATGACTCACCAACAAAAGCATTCAGAAAGCAGACAAGAATAGGTCAGGGCCAGGTCACGTCCATCGGCCATTCAAGTGGAATATATGCTACCCAGGGCTGTGAACTGCCCCAATCTGTGCACTGGTGCATTCACAGGTATTACCTGTTGAAAGCACCTTTGCTTTGCTAAGCAGAAATCATAGGATTGTAACAAAACATACCCAAAAATGTAGAAATAATTGATAATGACAGCTGGGGTTCCATTAAAACCCACTTCAGTTTGCCAGCCACACCTCTTATTAATAACTGTAGCAAAAGATGGCAGACATAAGCATATTTTTTCTAGCCTTTCTTACTGACAAGAAGAGTATTTTCAGTCAAATTTAATCAAGTTGTATACAATCCATTTAGATTTCTACAGATGATGGGATGGTTGAGTTTTTACAGCACCATAGTAGTGACTAATGACTAATAAAGTGGTAGACAAAAAATAATCACACTTTCTAAAGACCTGTGAATAACACCTCTTGAAACTCAGTCATAGAAATTCATTCTTATTTATACATGGAACTGAGGGTGCAAACCATAAAAGCACAGTTTTACAATAAGCTGACAGAAATGTGGTCTCATGCCTACCCCACCACTGGTGTTTACCTGCATGGTACTTTTCAGTTGGCACAGACAATGAAGTTGCAGCAGATTAACCTTACAAAAACATGAACAGAAGAAAAAAGCAGGTTTGGTGGCAGTTTGTTTGCCTTGTTCTTGAAACCACAGCCTTAGTAGAGATTTAGAGATTTGAAGTCAAAGTACTGAGGTAGTAAATTTTGGATTGTCATTTCAATATGAGCACTTCAGGATACCAAGACCATAGATTCATACCTATCTTCCTCTTTCATAAATTCATTAGGAAATGCGTGCCTTAATTAAGCATCAGTTGTCAGCAGAATGGTAGCTTTCCCTTCCTGCATAAGGTGATACCCTCCCTCTGTATAAAATTGTTTTAAAGTGGTTTCTAGAAGAACAGAGAGTGTATGTAAGTGACAGAAGGAGAATTGGTTGAAATTACATTTTCACAGCAAGGTTTTAAAACGGCTTCTGAAATGAATCCTGTGCTCTCTTGGACACCGCATTGCTTACATTATTTAAGTAAAATGTCAGGATGCTTGTAATATAATCTAATGCTACTGAGCTGAGCATGGCTGGTGACTTTTGCAGACTGCAACAGGGGAAGACAAGCAAAGCTGACATTAAGATAGAGTGAAAAAAAAAAAGTGAAAAGTCTGCTGCTGGGCAAAAATGAGGAAAATGTGAGAAGACAAGGAGACAGGGAACATAGATCAGAATTGTTTTGAAGACAGTGTTCAGAGTCCTAAAGAACATAAAGGTGAATTTAGCACATAGAACTTTTAGAATAATCTGGTGAATCTATAGACTCACATCCTTAAATAGCCTGAGCTTGAAGATACTATTTACAAAGCAGAGAAGGGGATCAAAGATCAAGACTGGGTCCTGAGAGAGTGGCAGAAAGAGGGCAGGAACAGGTTAGAGACACTTTAAGGACACATGTTCATCTGAAAGGTCATGGGAAGGCAGCAGGAGGGAAGGCAGCAGGAGCTGCAAGTTGTCCATGAAGAAAGCCAGAAGACATTCTGCAGCAGAGCAAGGGAGATTGCACCAAGTCAGGAGTGGAGTGTGGATTACTGAAGCTGTTGGCAGGTGGGAGTTTTAATTTGCAGGTGGATCCCAGAGCCAGTATGGATGTTGGTTGATGGGGAGAGAAATTGATTCCAAAATCTGCTATAGGGACTAGCAGACTTACTGTAGCAGAGAGGGCCACACCAGGACTCTAGGAGGAGCAATGACATTATAATAAAGATCTGAATGTGTTAATGAGGGAATTCAGGTACAAGTAGCTAGAAACAATATGAGAACATGATACTCTGCTGTTCTGCTCCAGTGCTTTCCAACTTCTATTCATAGCTGGACAAAAAAAGAGAGAAAATCCTTCAGTAGACAAAAAGTCTACTGAATGGACAAATTTCCAGTTTCTTTTTAGTTGATTATAGTGGTTTTGTTCTGACATCTACCCCCAGTCTGCTTTACAGGAAATGAATACCCTAATCAATGTTTCAAGAGCTACAGAGGATTTATAATTATAAAACACTGTGATACTTATTATTAAAAATAAATAAATAAATAAATAAATAAATGAACTTTTTGGTGGAGACAAAGCTCATAACTGAAGTTTCATATTATGAAGCCAGAAAAGTAATGATTAAATAACAAGGGAACCAAATGGTTAACTGGAAATAGGTATAAAAAAATTCCACAGTATGTTAGAAAGTGGACGTATGGTTTCATGATTTGAATAAAAAATAAAAATACTGTGCTTATTTCAACCTATATTTGTTATTCAAGGTATCAGGGAACTCAACCACTTCAAAGACAAAAACAACCTGCTGCACAATGAAAGCTGGCAACTAATAATGAAACTATAAATATATACACATATTGGAAAAAAAAAAAAAAAAAAAAAAACAACTATTTTCCTTGCTAATTTGAGACCCACCCCCCAAAACTACTCTTCTGTGTTTACTAAGCTGAATTTTATTTTATCCAATTGCTTGGCCTCAGATCTGTTAAAGGACTTATTTGACATCTTTGAAAGATGTGGGAGATACAGAATTCAGGAAAAATTCTCAAGAGAAAACACAAAGCTGAAAAGCCAAGTGAACAAGCCTTGCAAAACATACCAGATATTAATTTCCAGGGGCAGATAGTAAATCATTTCACAAGAATATAACATTGATCAGAATTCTTTTAATACTCCCAAGGGAGAAGGACTTCAGAAATACAGAATTAGGTAAAAGAGCAGAGCATGCAGTATAAGAAATTAATTGTGTAATCTCCCAATTTTATATTCCTTAATGGTTTAAAAATTCAAAACCTATTTTTCAAAAAAATTTATAAGTTAAAGGTGATTGAAGGAAAAATAGCAAGACAATTTAGGGAGGAATATGATCATATTCCTGATAAAGAGATTATATGTTATCTTGATAAAGAGATTATATTATCCTTCTAGCTCATAAAATTACACTGGTAGCCAATAATACAAGAAATAATGTCATTTTTGACAGAATTTCCACTTCTCTCCAAATTTTCATGTAAAAATCATGTAAAAAACTTTTTTTTTTTTTTTGTAGTTAAAAGCTTGCCATATTATATGACACAAAATCACTGGTAACGTTTTTTTTTATTTCTCATTAAGAAAACAAACCAAACAAACAAACAAAAGAATGAATTTACCAGAACATAAATAAAGTAAGCAATATTCAACCATATTTTTGTTTCTTTTAAGTATGTCTTTCCAATGAATTCTATTCACAGACAACAAAAGAAATATATGGTATGTCTTTCCATTTTTGACATCTCTGTGAATGAATCAGTTATACAATATGCAAAGAAAAAGAGAACACAGTAAACTTTCACTAAAGTAACCAATCCTAAAATAAAACTGTTGTATTTTTTCAAATTGTTCTGAAGTTAGAGAGGCTACAGACCTCAAAGCTCCACAGGGTTTCCTTTGGTGTATGGATAAACAAGCTGTCCCTTCACTTGCTTAAGAACTACTAGGAAATCTTCTTAACTGAAGAATGAACACAGAACCATGACTTGAAACCTTTCTTACAGGAGCAACTCCAGTTGAAAGCATCGAGACCATTCATCCGAGCAAACTAGGAGACAAATTGATGCATAACTGGATGGATGGAAGAACAAAGGAAACGTTCTGTTTTAAGCAAAAGATGTTCTCTTCAGTATGTTTTCACTAACAGGACAACATTGTTCTCTTTGGCCTAAGAGGTATGTGAAAGTAATTCAACGTGTTTCATCAAATGGTCTTCATATATCAAGCTTTTTGTTTGTTTCTGTGTGTTTGTTTTGATTTTGTCAGGATTGCAAATCTCTCTCCAGTGTTTTAGACCATAAGCAGCTTTTGTGAATTTAAACTGTTCTTAATATGTACTCCACTTCCCATGGTTTGATGTTGAAATGGAATTTACAAACAAAGCTGAAATAGAACAATATTGTTTTGCTGTTTATTGATAGCTGTAATGAGACAACTACTGTCAGAAGTTGGGCTTTATGTTCTTGTGATTCTTAATATGTAAAGCATGTTCTAAAGGCTGACTCTTAGCATAAATAATGCATATTTTAATAGACAAAAAGTAGTCTCAGTTGGTTTTGATGGGGAGTTCTGAGAATATTCTAAGGTAGATTTTCTTAAAGCAGACTAGATAGCAGTTGTTAGTCAGTTCTATTTTTTTATTTTTATTTTTATTTTGCCAGAGTTCCCTATCCTTAGGAGGAAAAATATGCACAGGCAAAGACTTATTACAACAGACATTATAATTTCCAAATCTAACAGAAACCATTTTCTCAGACACAGAATTCAGAGTACACGTTACATTCTCAAAAACACTGACATTCTGTTGATAAGAATTTCAATAAACAATCATTGCTTTTTGATAATACTCTTTCTATACAGTAGCATCTATATACTGCAGAGGCAGACCTCTTTACAAGCTCACTGCTGTGAATGAAAAAAATGGCAGTCAGATTAAAGGCTTCTAAGCAAAGTTTGATTTTTATGTCATGATAAAAGCAGGTGAGGTTTTTTTATTTTATTTACTGTTTTGTGGCGTCATTCAGGGCATTTATATTAATCTGGACATAAGGTGATACATACTGAAGAACTGGAATAGATTTTGCTTTTCAGAACCCAAAAACATATCAAGAACATTCCTGAAAGTTTGATATACTTTTTTTTTCATAAAATTCCACAACATTTTCTTTGTATTATCTCCTAACTTTATTGTTCTATTTATTCATAGACAGCCTCAGATTCATGCCATCCTTCACAGTATGAGTAAAAATGGACCAATGTGCCTTGCTGCTAATTCTCAGAGTGCAATAGCTACATATTGTCAATTTTTCTCCCAAGGAAACAACAACTATTAGGTTGCAGGAGGGGTTTCCTGCCACGACTTCTCAATTTCCATTTCAAACACTGCTTAGAAGCTCTTTTATAATGTGTGATACCAAAGCCCCCACAGGATCAAGACCCCATGATTACAGTTAAATAAATAAGCCACTACTTCTGTATATGATGTAAAAACTCCACAGGTAAAGTAAACAAACATAAAAAGCAGTTGCATGAGTGAAAATAAAAGTAAAAACGTAACTTGTTAGGTAGCTTGAAGTCCTTTATAACTTGTTTCTGTTACTACTACAGGACCATATAGAAACTTGCATACATGCTATATATGTTTCTGAGAGATTTAGTAATTGGACAATTACTAAATTGTCTCAGTTATGTAAAAAGCAAAAATCACAAATAAATAAATAAATAAATAAATAAATAAATAAAAGAGGTAGTTGAGACATCTGTTTCAATAAATTCTCATCTTTAATTTGTTATTTCAACTCTTATATGACCCAGAAACAAAAAATACTTGTCAATGTTTAGTGAAATGCTGCTAAGAACTATATAACACTTAAGTGGTGTGAGGGGACTGGAGTTAGTACTGTGTATTAATCATATTTTGTCAACCATTGGTAACATATGGTATTATAATTATATCAAATATGTTTACAAAAGATGTGAACAGGTGCTAACGCTCATGTTCCAAATGTTGACAAGATGTTTCCTCTTTACCAAACTGTGTCCCACAGACAAGACACAAAAACGTCTATAAACTAGGGCAAAGAAATTTTTCTGGTAACAAATTTCTTCCCAATGTTTTCTGAAATTTGTTGTTTCAAGGTTAAGTTGATAGAGATAGAACTCAGGATTCCAAATTATGCATGAAGTACCAAAAACATTTCCAAAGAGCACTATCCTTTCACATTTATTAGGTGAATGTAGCAGTACACATTTATTGTTAAAACTGTCGTCACTAATACTAATTATTACTAATACTGTGTTAGATGTTTGAAGCTCCCACAGAAGTGTCTGTCATGAGGGACCTATCATAGGTTCATATACATAAAACAGACTATGTGCAGTCTAAAATCTCAGAAAGAAACATAAAGAAATATAATGAAAGGACACGTAAAGAAATTATGAGACATGATTAGAAAAGAAAGGACCACTTCAAGCATCTTTATTCAAGAACAGTGAACATTTCTTTTTATAGTTTAACTTCTTTAATACTGTAGATTCTTAAAATGTTTATTTAACCAAAATAGACATAGCTTTCCAATAAGCCTGGAAAGGTTTACTGTACAAAAACTTATGGATAATTACTACAAAATGAGTGTGCTTGTTTGGTCAAGAACTAAATATCAGATATTTATGCCAACGTTACATACAATTTTTAGTAGTAAGGTTGCTGCACAGGATAAAATAATTAATAATAAAAATAAAAATAACAACAACAAACAATATCAACAACAATAATAGTAATAAATGTCCTTGTTGTAATTAACTGGAGTGCAAATTTTTCATTCACATCCACGTAGGTCAAAATAAGAAATTTCTAAGAATGTTGCTCATTTCAAGGAGTATTTTCTACTGCTTTGAAAAAAAAAAAAGATTTTAATTGTAGGTAAAAACAACTGCTCCTCTCTGAAAATCTCCAATGTGGTATTCTAATATGTATTCTGCTCAATAGTCACATGAAGTTGCTGCAAATACTTGTAAAATAGTCATATGAACTGGAAGGGCTCTTCAGAACTCACACCGGGCTGTGAATATCTAGTTTTGCCTGATTTGGGTGACATAGTTCATAATTTCTGCTAATTTCTAGTGATGTTCAGGATATGACGAAAATCTGCAGCTCAGTTTAAACACAATTAGACAGAGAATACCTGTAAAACATACAGGCACTGTTAAGACACTTCTGGGGATTCTAATAAACAGGAGGAAAATGTAAGCATTGTGTGGTACATTCTGTAGATGTCCTCTTCTCCACAGCAAAATATTACAGCTGAGGCATAAACTGTTCTACGTATACCCTAGAAATATACAGAACTAATCCTGGTTCAAGCTTGAATTTTATCCAAGTAGTGTGAATGTTTCTCTCTCAGTATTTGTTTCTTTGTTGTGTGTGTGTGTGTTTGTTTTTTTTTAAACAAAAATTACATTTAGCTTTTTACAGCCTTCACACAGACAAGTTCTCTCCCTCCCTTTTACTTTCATTCTACATGCATTGCAAAACAACTTTTTCAGGTTGATGTTCTTAGCATGTTTTACCTCTGAGAATGGTTCATTAATATGTTTCAAAGGGCCAAGTCACAAAATATTTATCATATTCCCAATTGCTGAATCTAACATCAGACTCACCTTCCTAGAAGTCATTTTCAGAAATGATTGTTCAGACAGGCAAGTTACATTTAAACTGATCCCTCTGGTCAACCAGAAAACAATTAAATAAATAAAAATGGGGGAAAATAAACACCATGGGTGACTCTGGTAGCCTATCCAGTTTATCAACTTTGCCTACCAACAGAACTGTTTTCTGTAATTCTTTTTAGAACTGTATTTTATATTCCACTTAGCTCAAGTTGAAAATTTCCCATTTTTAGAGAATTAAGAGAAGCTGCTCTTGCCATTATGCGCCTGGCATTATGTAAGTGCATCCTGCTTTTGCAAGATAATATGTTGTTTCACTGCTGTCTGAAACCTGTGTTACTCTCAGAACATAAAGTGAGATACCAATTTCAAAAGCCATGTGCATAATACATTAGAAGTCTATCATTCCTTCCTTTCTACCAGCTGGCAGGAAGTTGTCCTAATATTAGGAATTAATACCTTGCAACAAGCAATTATCTCCTGCTTTCACAGGAGAAATTTCTCTTATTAGTTCAATTCAGTTCCACTGTCAGACTAAGAGGAATGAGGAATGAAAAAGGAGTAGAGGACAATCAGTGTATGGCAGTAAATGTAAAAAACTTTGCCAGTGAGTTTTATTTTTATGCCCCTTTTTCAGGAGTGGCCAAATATCCCATGTGTCTTTGTTTTCATATAGAGAAATAAAGACTATTTTCACTTGCTTTCTCCTACACAAAAATAATTTTCAGGTAGAGTTGGAGAAAGTCAAAGGGTGACAGAAAACGTAGAAACTATACTTGTGCAAATACTGAACTTTTCATCTACGTGAACATAAACCATATTTAAATATAGAACTCACAATCCAGATGAGACCCAGGCAGATGGGAAACTTTCCAAAACCAAGGGTGAGCAAAATTCAGTAAGTTGGTACATGTGTAGAACACAGACTTTAACACTACACCTAGCTTCTTACTTCTCCAGGCATCCACATTTTTCTTCTGATTATTTGCAGCTCTAAAGAAATTTTTAAAAACAAATCAACCCACAAAATAAGAAGTACTTAATCTTCAGGGAACATTCAAAATATTCCAGGCCCAGTGGTGGATATAGACAGTAGCAATCTCATGACAATATCCTCAAGTTAGGATCTTCAGAAGTATAATTTCCATTATAATCTTTTGTTATATAAAACACTATTAATCTGAGAATCTCAATGCACTTCACAAAGACTTAATTCTCACAGCCTTTGCAGGTGTATAATTATCTTGCTGTATAGATATGTAAATTGAAGGTCATGAGTTTTAACATTATATATTCAGACACACATGTTCACTATAGTAGGTCCTTGAAAATAATAGGCATGGCTTGCAGAAACTCTCACCTGTCGTTGGTTGCTTTTCTTTCACAGGTAGTCACATATATCCAATTTGCTTCCCATGTTGCTAATTGTTCAGGTGTTCAAATAACTAGAATGTTTCATTACAGAATTACACTAGGCTTTCTGGATCCAGAAACCTCAGAATTGTTT